ATTAAAATCAAATGAAAAGTTTTTAGAAAAAAAAAAAAGAAGCTAAAGTTAAATAAAAGACTTTAAAAAAAAAGATATAAATAATAAAGCACACCTAGAAAAGACGAAAGAAATGAAGGAAAAAACTCAATCGTTCAGAAATTGGAAAATGAAAAGCGTTTAAGTACGAAACAAGGCGTTTTACTAAAGTTTTGAGTTTAGGCGCCGCTTAGACAAATTTTTTAGAAATATATATATACATGTATTCTAAAAAATTCGTCTAAGTGGCGCACACACACATTATGGTCTATGTAATTTATACGTGGCATTTAGTTATTTTAAAAATGTTTTTCTGTATATGTAACTTGCATTGATATATATGGAATTTGTAGAATTAGGTTCGACTCTACTCGATAGAGATTATCAAATAATTTTGAGAATCAATTTTTAGCACAATTTATATTTTCAATTACATTATTATTCAAATTAAAATGGATAAGTGTTGGTGAAGTTACTCATAATGCTTAAATAATTCATCAAAGTATGCCAAACAATTTTTCTCCATGTTTTAGTTAAATTTTTAGATAAAAAAACAAACAAGTTAGAAATAAGTGAATCGTGAATGGACTCTAAACTCGTATTTATTACATTATTTGTCTTCGAGATTCTCTCGCAATTTTGCCATTAGAATGTGATGCAAGCTATCATCACTTTATTTTTTCACCCGAGCGTCAAATGATATCACTCAATTGCCAACAAAGTACTCGACGAGGCCTTTATTCAAAAGTTACATAGACAGAAAACGTAAATGATATGCAATGTAAATATCGAAGTATACGTGAATAAATAAGGTTTATTTTTTATCCTTCGATAGGCCAAAGATAGTCAGATTCTTAAAACAATTGAATCAAATGGATCTCATACCAAAAAAACTGATACTTTGAAATTAATTCAAAGTAGAACATAGGACTATATACTATTAAGATTTGGGGGTCCATCTTAAAAGGTCAACTTTATTAAGAGGAATAGCCCAAAATCTTTATTAATTGGTCCGTGTCAACATCTTTATTCGATGTGGGATTATATCCCTTAACACGCCCCCACAAGATGGTGGCTCATTTGAGCAGACCAATCTTGAAATCCACGTGCTCACTTTTTGGAGTCTTACCGGGATCGAATCGCTCGT